TCCTCTTCAGCAGCTTCTCTTGACACTTCATTCAAATCTGAAATTGGCTGAATCACATTCGATGTGTTCCCGTTTTAACTTACGAACCCAGATCTTCAGACATCTCTAGCAGGTAAAGCTTTAATAATCCATTTTTCGTCTTTACTTCGGCCACTTGTACAATTCCGTCAACAGGACTTGGGGGAAAATGCTTACTATTTTTCCAAGTAGCCGAACCTTTTCTTATTATTATCCTCGACACGTTACCACTTTCAAATTTTCTTTGCCTTTCATATTTCTTGTTGGGGCAAGAATTGATAGACACCTCTTTCTGAAACGGGCTTGTAGAGACTACGTTGAATACGTAAATCGCTCACAGTAGCTTCCTTCTGTACTGGAAAACTTGCACTGCAATTGTTTCATAAAGAAGAATGGTGTCAAAGCTTCCGTTAAAGTAGCTAATGGTCCACTCTATAGCTGCTAAATAATTTCGTAATCCCTTCCGATCCAGTTTAGCTCCCCCAATGATCCTCTTCATTAAATCTTTAATATTTAGAACGGATTAATCGTTCCAAAAATCCGCCTCATCTCATGTATGGATCTTGGACTGTAAGTACTTTTGATCAGTACACGATGCAAATTAACTTCATCCATAGGTTTACTGTAATAATAGCTTGAATAGTTCTTTTATTTAGGAAGCTTCTCTGATAGCCATCACCAAATAGAACACGAGCTAACACTGATTTTCCTCTTGTTCCAAATTGCACCTTCACACCTATAGTCCTTTATAGGACTTCATTGGTGCAAACAATATTCGATGTTACGATGCACTATTTACAGTTGCTTCTTTAGTCTTTTCTCTCTTCTTAGGACAGAACAGCAATAAACGCTTACCGTTACAATCCGAACACTCCACTGGAACCTGACATTTGACCTGGTTTCACTTTGATTAGCTTTATCATTTCTTCGCATTTCAATTTACTAGGTTTAAAACAATCCTGAGGTTCACGGTTACTTTTGCGGTTACTGGACATGACTTCACTTCTTGTACTGATTTTTCCATTAACTTTTTGGGAAAATGTTTTTCCTTCTTTGGTGTTGACCAATCCTGTTCTTGCCAAAGAGATCTCCTGTTCAGCACGAGCTTCAATGTGAAAAAAATCCATAAGTGCCTCCAATTTGTTTGAATTTAGTTATTTTGGTGGCATAAAGTTAGGCGTCCTTTAGAAGACTTTTTATCATGTAAAAGTAGACATAGGAAGTCCCTATGTCTACTTCTACATGAATATCACTGTATATATATATTTTTTAACAAAATGGCAACTTTAACATTACAATCTAGAATCAGTTTTTCATTTAAAGTTGGTTCGTTCAAATTTCAAGGGAGAAAACCACGCTCGAACGACGAGCGCTCTAATTGTCTCAAAAATGCTCGCGAGCATCGAGCTGTTTTGCAAAGTGAAACCGCTTGCGAGTTCCGAGAACTTCTAAAAGTGCTCGAGCGGTTCGCCGGAAAAGTGCTTGAGAGCGGAAAAAGCGCTCGGGAGCGGAAAAAACGGTCGCGAGCAGCGGTTAATCCTTCAGCGCTTCAGGGCGGTTAAAAGCGCCCACGAGCGAAAAAAAATGCTCGGGAAAACAATGCTTGCGTCGCGGGCAGAAAGAAGCACTAGACCGCCGAGCAGTTAAGTAAACGCTGGAGTTTCGAGCACCAAGCGCCCGCTCTGAAAAGGGCTCGCCTTTTCCGCCCTGGAGTGCTTTTTCGACCGAAACGCTCGCGAGCAGTACCCAGCTCTGAAAGTTAATGATTATTAACAAGCTCCTAGCGAGTTTAAAATTTTGCGGTGTCTGTTCGTCTGTCCGTTAGCACGATATCTCGATAACGCATGAAACGATTACGGTGAAATTTTGTACGTGGATTCTTTATTTATTTATTGAAATAAACATGCCTGGGCCTAGTTACATATTTCCCTTACACATAAATGAACTTTACCAAATTTGTAGATCGGAGTTCGTGAATTAGCAATGTAGCTCAAAAAATAAGGAAAGCCATCTCTGTTATGAACCGAATTGCATGAAATTCAATATGAGTATAGCTTTAGCCATATAAAACGCAATTCCAAAAGTTGAGACTAATCGATCAACATTCACAGTGCCCTTTTCGCATCTCGACCATTTACAAACCGGATTGCAAACTTTCTTATTTATGGAAGCAATTAAATGAAATGGAAATTTCTTTTTGCACATGGTATAGCCTTACCCAGGAGCTCGTTTTCTATATGTGTTTATACGTTTGTTTATCATGTGAATTGTGTATATTAGTAGTTTGACATACTGTAAAGTTACTCTGAAAATAATAGCGAAAACTACAAATAGGAAATTCTGTAGAGAGAAGTGTAAACAATTTTTCATTATTTGATTTTTTTATATATATCCAAAATTTTATTATCACTTTGTATTTAATTTTGAGAGCAACCAAGCAGGTTTAGAAGTCAATCTTTGAAAAAATTTTCAGTAAGTACGTCACCGTAAAATTTAAGTTAAGGGCTAGCCTCGGGGCTAGCCTTGGACCAAACTAAAAAATGGGACGTAGAAGAAAGGTGCCGTTGCACTTTGAGGAGATAATGAATTATGGAAGAACTTAACGCTAAGGAACGAGGGGCATTCAAGGGAATTTTGAGAACTTGAAAAAATAAGCTTAGGCAAAGCATTTTACTACGACAGTTCAACCTCGTTTCAGTTTGACTGATGAATGGAGAAATGAGGTAGTCAAGATTCGAAAATGACCACCCAATCATAGTTTATTTGTAGGAATGATGGGGAAACTAAAAGAACGATAGATGAGATACATCCTCCGATTAGAAAAACTACATGAACAAGTTATACAATGTATACTGAAATTACTGGTGGATTAATTAGATCGGACAACGATTTCATTAACTGAAAAATATCATATTCTAGTTCCTTATATTAAGACATTTAAATGAAATTCATCTTCCGGATTGGCTTTCAGCAGGAATAACACGATAGTACGAATATAAGGCCGAAAACCCGAAAGTTCTACGATATTCTGTTCCCAACATATCGATCGATTTATAAAAAGCACCCGCACAGCCGACAGCGAAACAATAAGCTCATCTTTGAGAATCAAAAATGCGCTAAAACATTTTTAATTATGAGCGCCCCTGTTAAAAAATGTTAGTTAGGCAAGGTTTCTTGATATTTTGCATTCCAAAATTCTTGTCGTTTTTTATTAGGCAAATAAACCATCATTTCTTACTTTGAACTTGTACTGGAGTCGAGACCTAACCTGATTCAATTCAAGCAAGGATCCCCTTTGAACAATTCCGTTACCAAAATTTGTTGTTGCCGATTATAATTACCTGGTCAATGTTTAGACCAGAATTTTCGGCGTCGGTCTTGAATGTAACTTTTTCAGAATTTTCTACATAATATTTTGCTATACGTACTGGAGTTGCAAAGAAGTGTTTTTGTTTAATAATGAATAAAGGACAGATGTTTCTTTCTTTTCTTATTCGGTAACTTCGTCACACTCCTAATCGTAATTTAAAATTTCATTAACACCGGCCCTGATTAGCATAAATTTACAACGAAAATTCCTCGCACGTTTTTTAGCCAGCACAGCACTGCTTTACAGGGAGTGAAAAATAATATTCCCAGCTCGACTTTGTGCTTTTGCTTTTAAGTGAACGACACCGGTTACCATCCCCCTGTCGAACAATGAATAACCACTTGAAACAAGCGCGCGTCAAGTTTTCCGACACCTTGTGTAAAGATTCTAAAGTGATAATGACACAAGCATTTCGTCCTTTAGCAAACGAAAACACCTGCAATCAAGTAAATTTGTTAGCGTAAAATAAACATTGTTTATGTGAAACACGTCAGTTTTAGGGGTGCTTTGCCTTTCAGATTACTATCGCGCCAACCTGGGGGTTTTAATTACATAGTTTTGTATGGGGGAATTGCAGTCTCTTGAACAAGGCGCCGTCGTAATATTGTGTTATTACATTTCTATGCATCACCACGTCAAGGTAATTTATTGCACTTCGTATCTGTGTCGTTACAGCACTGCGCCAATCTGAAGTCTGTGGTCATAGTCGTTTAATGAATAATAAATAGACTTACATGTAATATACATTATTTACAGCGCATTTATTATATAGGTGTGTAATACGACTCAATACAGAAAATATCGTGCCATCCATCAATGACAACCATATTTTAACATAAATCAGAGAGTTTTGATCCTTTTTTAAAATGTCTATTGTAATTTTTAGTACGCTTTACTCCTAAGTGTAAGCACAATTCGATAAAAAATATCCCATTCACAGTTTAAAACGGTATCAAAGTGACAGTTCATATGCATTAACTAAATTTTTAGAGCAATCTGTAAATTCAGTCAGTCGTATTTGTTTAGGATGAAAGCTCAAGAGACCATTTCCTAAAAGAGGTACAACTAAAACCTTACTTGTACTATTCAAATTAGAAGTTATCTTGATCCACTTTGAAAAGTATAAGGTACGAACATACCATGCTACATAAAAAGTTACTTACCGTTATCGTGAAAGATTAAAGATTAATTTTACTAATTAAAAACCAATGAATGGTGTAGAAGTAACGCGAGAGTTAAATGAAATCAAAACATGTAATTTAAATTCCAATCAGTGGCGCAATGTTTCCAATTACACACTACCGAAACTGTTAGTTAGTAAGTGCATGGACCGTTGTACAAATGCAAAACTCTCACGATCAGAACAAAGAGAGAGCGGTACGTCCAAAAATAGCCCTGCTTAAAATAAAACAATAAATGCAAATAAACAACTACTCCATTTATAGCACTTAATAATAAAACAAAAATCTGATTTAAGTACGCGAAGTTCATGTTAATTCATTGAAAGTACACGAACCTATCTATTGTAATGTCGTTTAAAAGTCATACAACATTTTATCTTGTCCTTTATAAACAACGTTCGTGCGATAAATACATGGTAAATAAAACTCACCCCTGTTAAATTATCAAGTTCTCCGAGCCATTCATCCAGGAGCTGTTCGGGATCGCCTTCCTGATCCGAGTCGGCATCGCCCGCTTCTGCACTTTGGGCTAATTTATTCATCTGCAAGCGGAAAATTTAAGGGTTACTTTATTTGGTAATGGGCTTTAATCAAATTAAAACAGTTTGTGAGGTGCGTCCATTGCGTAATCGGAAACGCACGTCTGCGGTGGTTACGAAAATGGTAGAATTCGTTAAGAGAACGTGAGCGGTATGTAAGATGGATGGATTAGCACAATCAAGAGGTAATAGCCATTGATACTTGGAATAATTCGTTTGATTTTGGTACTGTTATGGAAAGGTTCGATTACCTCTCGATTTACTTCCGCAATCAAAGAGACTTTCCAAGAAATTTTTACTCAATTTTCTGCATCCACATTCCATAGCAAATGATGATAATTCTAGTTGTATTGGGTGAATTGTAATAATTGATAACTTGAGTAGTTTCAGAAATGGAGCTATTTTCTTCATTTAGTAACATATTTTTTTTGAAGGTACTAGATTTCATTAATGAAACAACTCTATGGGTAGAAAAATTAAGCAATTTGATTAGTGGAATAGTATTCGTAAACCGTCATGGAAATGAAACCTGACTTTGGCTGCGTCATTTAGTTTCAATAGCGCTTTGTTCCTTAATGCATTCCGGAATTAGACTAGATATCTGTAATGGGGATCATATTCAGTCATTTTATTCGTGATATTTAGAAACGCACATTCAGCATAGCACTTCGGCACGGCATCGTGAGATTTGATAAATTAATATAGTTGAAAAATCTGCGGGAAGCTTTTATTTGATTCGTAGGGCGGGATTTAAGCAACGAATTAACGATTAAATATGGCCGTCTGCGTTAACAATTCACAAATGAAGGGTTTTAGCAAATGAGGCGACCAGTGTTGGTCCATAAAAAAATTGGTACCTATTTGATTACTTGACATGGCCAGCAGTAAAGAATTTATTCGGGTTTTTACTAGTAGCATAATCAGTGTGTAGTCTAAAAATTAAAGTTGGTAATTAGTTCGCATTTTAAAGTCAACCGTACTGCGTGGTGTCTAAGAAAAATGAACGCATTTGAACGCTTGCGTGTAGGTATTCGTGTTTGGAATGAAAATTATTAAGCCAGTTCCGGAAGAGTGATTGCTAAAAGAAAACGGGCCGACATTTAAACAAAAAAGGGTTACGTGACGCTAATAAGCCCCCCAGATACGATCATGAAATTAATAAAAATGGTTATAGGGCATCTTAATTAAGGGTTTTCAACAAAAACATTATTAGCGGGGAAAAGCCCTAAATTTTCCACAATCTTAATTAAAAGTTCACTTCATTTCGTCGAAATGTGAGGTTATGTTACTACAAATCTCATGATTACTTTTAAGTTGGTAAGAGTGTACGCAACATTCATGAGTGCCCATTTCAATTTCTTAAGAGGTTATGTTATTTTTACACGATTTAATAAACGTTAAAAAATCATGTACAGCTATATGTGTTTCTAATTATCCTATAATAGCACTAAGTAGTTCTCTACATGTTTTACATAATTCATGTGAACCTACAATATTTACACATGAGCAGCAATTTTATCTAAGCATCATAATTAAATAGTTACCAATTGCACATTTTAACTTGTTTTATTAAGAAATCAAGAGAAGGAGATTAACCGAGCTTGGAATTGTCAAGGACAAACTAATTAAACGCGCCAGTATGTTTTCATTAACATAGAGCTTTTGTTAAAAATTTCAACGTCAGGGTTTGCTGTTCGTGAAACTATAAAAGAGATTAAACTCTGTTTTCTTAGTCGTAAAATTATTGTAGTTATTGTTGAATATTCCACCACCCTGTATAAACGATATCAAGCACGTGTTTAAACATTTTCAATTTCAGGTATTTGCTGATGATATTAAGTTATCCGCCAATTCCTATTACACAGGGTTTATAGCTATTTTCTGACCTAGCAGTATCGGTAAACTACATGTTTTTAATTACATATTATAACTGATATAATCAACAGTCCAAAATGTTTTCTCCGTTACCTTGCCAAAAATTCCTAAGATTTTTGATTTTTCGTTAATTTTATCAGTAACACGTTAGTTAAATTATTGGGTATATACATGAAATAAATAGCTTCACGATAATTAAAACGTCTTTGTCCATTCTATTTGTAAGCCTTTGATTTCATTGGATAAACACAATTAACTAAGACCCTGCAATTAACTCACTTGTACTTAACGCCTATTTTTCTTAGCCCGTAAGAACTGCTAATTAGAAAAGAATTCGGATCTTAATTCTTTTCTTTCGCTCAATTATTTTCGTATCTCCACTTGCTACCCGATGACAGCTAGCAACGAAAACTCGTTTCGCATGTCAATACCTTTCCAACTTGATCCATGCCATTGTCATGTACATTCCCTAATAAGTTTCTATATTTAACTAGACGTCAAACGTGAAAGGTATTACGTTACTTACAGCTAAATATAATTTTATGAATAGAAGAATGAATATTGTAAAACCGATTCCATTAAAATTCAATGTTATTTTTGGACCATATGGTATAAACGCCCCAGCAATGTCTTCAGTATTAAAATGATTTCAATATATTTAAAGCCTCTGGTTATTTTCACTGTGCCCACAAGTTAGTTGGCGCCTACTCAACTTTTACATACCTGTTATACGTAAGGCCCTTCCCACGTTACTTCAACTTTATGAATGAATTTTATTTCAAGATTATTGTAAGCCTGCTTTATTTTTTCCCTTACGAGTAGTTTCGAATTTGCTTCCCGCGTCGATACTTTCGAAATCCGATTATGCATGAATCAATTAACTCGATGTTTAAAAAGCTTCTCTAATCCCGATTGAGTATGCAAAATCCGTTTAAAACTCGACAGAAACATCGTTATTAAAAAGTTTAGTTTAGGAAATTATATGCGAGGCATCTTGCACTTCATAGTAATTGGCCCTTTTTATATCCCGCGCAAGGGATACATTAATTAACGTTCTTTGCAACGCGGGTACTTATAAATTATGCAAAAGTCATAAACTCGCGATATCATTTCAGTTATAAAATCTTGGCAAAAATGACTCGTTTACTGGAATATTGGGTTACATACCACCATGATAGAGCTTTATAGTGCATTTATTGCCCATTATTCTCGCTCCCACAACAATTGCAATTTTCACGGAAAGTCTTTATGAAAATGTTGATACATTGCTACACAATTTTGTATGGTATATAGATCACACGTATTATTTTTTTGTATGATAAAATGATCAACAAGAATAAATCATAAATCGACAAAATAATTCCAGATTAATATAATGAGGTAAGTATCCTAATTTACAACCAATCAGTGTTAATTTTACTTTATTAAGCTGAAACACCAATTACAGCAACAGATTTCTTAAATAAACGAAAAATTTAGTTTCCTTGATTGATCCTTGCTCTTTTAATTGGAAAATTTTATAATGAGGGAGGGCGGATCCATGTTTCCTTTCGATGAGATACTGTGTATTTTAATGTACTTTGCCCTTATTGGTGTAGGTGTACGTGTAGTTTACAGGGTATCTCAACTTTAGACGGTAGTTTCCCGGGAAACAATTGAGGTATATAACGATCCGCGTCCATTTTTGACACTTTTATAGGGATCTTCGTAATCGTTAGGCGTCATGTACCTTTTTTGCGTCAAACTTAAAATGGTAAAATCAAAATTTGAACTTAAGAGGTACGGGGGAAAATAAAAAAATCGGTAATTTCAGGACGACCCACTGTAGTAGTAGTACATCTTATTTCTATTTCCCGTCATTTTGTAATCAAACTTAGATGAAATGTAAGTTGAAAGTGAGCTCTATGCGACAATGAAGTTTTCAAGATACATATATCCATTTGAAAATCGTTCAGTTTAATATGCGATCTTATGGAGAAACGTCCCAGTCTGACCCAAACATCGCAATAATAGTTATTTATGTATTAAGGGCATAATCAAAAGATTATGGCACGAGAGAATGTTTAAAGCCCGGCGAAGGAGGGCTTTTAATTTCTCGAGGGCCATAATCGATTATGCCCGTGGTACATACAACGTTTTATTCTATTTTAGCACAATTTCTAAAAAGTTAAAAGGGATTAGTAGTTCTTGCAGGAATTTGTCGCTAAGCAAATATGAGTGGTGTAGATGGCGTTTTTTGTGTTGCTATATGGATACTGAAACTGTTTACTTTTTATCAAACAATTCGCTGTTGGAAATGAGTGCAGTTGAAATGGAAAACGTTTATTCTGACGAAATATTATACGTGAATTCGAAATCGCACAAGGTAAAGTGGTTCCTCATAAATCCAAAGATCTATATATGAAAAAGAATACAGCAAGTTTTGCGAGTGGCGGTGTGCTAAAAATGTAGGCAGAAATTGCGATGAGACACTCGTAATGGCGTACTTGTCTCAAATGGTAAGGAATGGCATTTAAATATCAAATATTTATTAAATTATCCTGCTTACTTTGTTGTAGTCACAAGTTTATAAACCTTCGTCACTTTGGTGCACATATTCCAAACTAAAAAAGATGCTGAAAATTAAAGAAAACGTTGATATCTCGAAATTTCTTATTATTACCGAATACATGAAGAATAATTCGGTGGGTGATGAAGCAAAGAAGTCTTGGGTACTTCAAAGAAAGGAAATTCAAGAATTTATGCTAAATGCTCCTGATATCAACTATTTGTTAGTCAAGGTAAAGCCATGTAATTTGGTTCCCATTTTGACAATTTTTAATAAAGTGAATATTCTAGGTTGTGACAGGTTTCGGTATTTTTGGAGCCTGCAGACGGCAAGAACTGCATGATTTAACTGTACAAGATGTAACAACTGAAGGATCGGTTTTGTTGGTAAAAATTCGTAGGACCAAAACTTACACTGCTAGGCAGTTTACCATTGTCCCGAACGATGGTTTCGTGGATTTTATTGCATTATACAACAAATATGTTGCCTTACGACCTAAAAACGTAAAAAGTGACAGTTTGTTTTTGTCGTATCACAACGGCAAATGTACTTCACAGCCAGTAGGGAAAAATACCTTCGG